GAGAAAATTTATGTTTTCAGTAACCGGATGATTTTATTAAAATTAAAATAACGGGTCTTCAAATTAAGTCACGATTTTAAGGTAGCACCCCTAATCAGTTTTCGCAAAGTAAAAAGGCTTTATTTTTAAATAACTTTGCGAAATTTTCGCACTCTGATTTTACGATAAGGAGGGGTGTTACAAATGGTATCAGAGCACGTTTCTGCGTCTCTGACAAGTTTTTCAGTCAGTAAATTTTTAGAAAAACCTGAACCGTCATGCTCACGCCCCGCCGACGACAGGTAAGTGCTGATTCAGTTTTCAGTTATAAACATATTACTTTGTCTATGCTCAGAATTCAGTAGTCAGACTTAGTTAAGATGCTCGAATCAGGTTCAGACTTTAGAGTTCAGTTATAACTCTAGAATTCAGTATATTCAGACCTGACTTTAGAGATCAGTACACTCAGACATGACTCTAGACTTTAGTATCTTTCGATATGACTCTAGAGTTCCACAGGTTTCATGTCAGTATTTATCGGCCATTTTTGGCAACTCGTCAAGAGATTTGTGTGCCGCAGTAATCAATCAGAATATCATCATGTGTTCAATAATTTTGAACGTTCTCAATGTTTAGATGCCGCCACGTAGGGAACCCGATCATCAAGCTCCTACTCAGGCTACTGTAGTCGCACAGTTCCGCGACTACCACGCTGAAAAGTTCTCAGGGCAGGGAGATTCCCGTATCGTGGACGAGTGGAATTAGAACCTTAGAAAGGGATCAAGTTTAAGAACTCTAGATTCAATTCTAGATTTATTCAAGTCAAGTCAGCAAATTGTCAGAAGATTTGTAAGCACTTGTGCTAAACAAATCTTAATATTCATGTTTCTCAGATATTTTTTATCAAGAACTGCCATTTTGTCAATCAATTGGCAAACTTCAGGGAGAAATTCCTTGATTTAATTCGAGGAATAGACTCAAATTTCTTAAATCAGATCAGTAAATCATGTTCAAGGCAAGAATTTTCATGTTAAAGGTTGTTATAATTCTCAAGTCATTGTTAAGGTAACGGTTTCCAGTGTATAAGAACCAATAATCTGGGTTACCATGGAGGCTTGAAATAAGAGCCATTCAGCCGGGTATACCATGGAGGCTTGAAGCTGAAACCGGAGCAGTATGATTTCATGTAATAACGACCTTTCAAGTCAGTCATGTCAGATGTTTTATCAGTCATGATATTTCAAGTTATGATTTCCAGAGATCAAGATCAGCTAATTACTTTGTACTTGCGGGACCAGTTGATACTGGAGCAGCCCTATATAGTACAGAGTTATAAATTCATGTTCATGATTTACAGTTTAAGTTCATATGTAAGGTCGATGTATAATAGTTGTTCAGCCGGGTTAAATGTGGCGGTCTGATATACAGACCATTAGTCCAAATTTACCTGGGAACTTGAAATTGTACCTTATCAAGTCAAGTAAGTCAGTAAATATCATGTTTTCAATCTCGAAGCAACTATTTAAGTTGTCTCGGGATAGTTTTCAGAGTTCCGAACAAAGATGATTCAGTCATGTGAGAGTCAAGTCATGGTTATTCAGTCATGAGAGTATTCAGGCCAGTCATGTTAAGATCGAGGATAGTTTGTCTAATAAGACAAGACTTATCCATCATTTCTAGTATGTCAGCGCCCCGATTCTCAAATTCTGATGAATCTGAGAAACCGTTGGACATATTCATTCATGATGGACTTCTTCTTGAGGTTAAGTTTAACCTCGGAGGGA